CCCTTAGAGAGCAACACAATGACATAATGACATATGGCATCCTGGGTTCCCAAGAGATCGTTTTCTCCTCTTAAACTCTGGCTTCTAAAATTGTGCCTTGAAATTCAATATCCAATTTTAAAACAAGGTTCAAGGAGAGTCCAATTCTGTAAACATAAGTAGACTTTCTCAAGGAGATTTGTTCTACCTGAAGAGTCCTGGCAAGTTCCCTGACCTGAACTGTTTGGGGTGGGGGTAGGGGTTATACCCTCACTCGGGGTTGGCTGCTTTTGGCATTCCTGAGTTCTGGAAAGCTTAAAAAAGAAAACCAGGTCATTTATCTCAAGGAAGTTCTGAGAAACCAAAACAGACCTCAGGAATGGATTATCCTGCTCTGGGAGGCTCTGCTGGGGGAGGAGTTAGAAGGGAAGACACCCAGGGTAAACTGAAGTGGAAGGAATTCCGACTGAAATTCTATCAAAGCCTGCTGCAGGATGTTTTCCTCATTACCAGAGCACAACTCAAAAGTGACACATAACACCAAGCCCCCAACATCTAATCGCTCCATGCTATTCACATGCAGCGTCTTTCCCATCAAAAGCACAACCTGATGTGGATGGCAAACCAGAAACTCACCATTGGAAGCCCCAGGCTTTACGCCTCCACCCGAATCTCCACTGCTCCCTTGGACAAACGCATCTGTGCCGGACAAACGACCTTTTCCCGAGACCACTGCTGAGGGGCGTCAGAAACATAAAAGTGGTCGCCGTGAGAAACATAGTTCGTTCCACCAACAGCATCAAGCCAAGACCCACCCCCAACCCCAGCCCAGAGTGTACCGGTCCTCCCAAGGCTCTACCCAGCTGCCTGTTGCAGGGGCTCAAGGGCCCCGCAGTTTTGCAAACGGCCCAGAATTGACCCGCTTCTCTAAGCTGTGGTGGAAGCCCGGGGTCCCGAGCCCGCCCCGTAGCTGAGCCCCGCCCGCCGGAGCAGAGGGAAGTGAGCAGAATGCCACGCTCATTTACACACAAAATGATTTTGTGTCCCATTGTGCTCGCAGTTGTTCAGCTCTCTGGGGGTGATTAAACTGGCTGAGCTGCGGCAGCTTGAGACGATTTCACTAAATCGCTTCTTCGTGAAGTCGCTTCTTTGCTAAGCTGTTATTTTAACCATAAAAGGTAAACAGAAGGCGCCTCTCAAGCTCCCTTTCAGCTCCACGCCCTGGGTGCTGGCCCGGGGCGAGAGTGCCAGGAGCTTGCAGAATTGTCCTAGGGTGGACCAGGAGGAAGGCAGGCAGGCCGGCCACCTGGTGCGCGCCAGTCCTGCCGCCGAGCCGCCGGCCGGTGTGAACTTCAGGGCCGCAGGAGCCGGCTGGGCCGAAGCTCTAGGCACCACAGGGTGGGATGGCCGAGGCACCCCAAGCGCCTGGCAGGGAAGGGAGGGTTGTGCGGCGGGGGCGGGGACAAAGTTAAATCAAGAGGCAGACACTTCGAGACCACAGATGGGAAGCTCGCCTAATTAAGGACGTAAAAGCGCTTTTGTTCTCAAAGTTTATTGTTGCCAGGATTTAAAAAAAATTAATTGAAACTAATGCTTTTATTCACTCGTGCAGTTAAATTCCTTCATGCACATTTGAGACACGGAGTGAAAACTTGAAGCTTTAATCTTTCTTCAGTCGGGGGCTTCAAGAGGGCAGAAAGGCGCTGAGGCAGCGGAGGGCAGGGGGTTGGTGGGGGACATTTGCGGGTGGGTGCCTGGCGTGCGCATCCAGGTCAGGGGTGCGGGTGGGCAGCAGAGAACCAGAGGCGACGATCAGGTGGGTCTCAGCGCTGCCCGTTCCTGGACCCCCACCCGCGCGCCTGGTACGACCACCAGCGCGCCAGCCCCTCCCGCCTGGCGTTTGACTCTCGGGGTGGGCGTCTGAGGACGCACATCTGTCCCGTTAGAGACTTTTTCTTTCTCTAATTTGGGCGCCAATCTGGCCTCTGTGCACATCGCAGTCCAGTTGCGACAGCCCGTTTCTGACCCCGGAAACTCGCCGGCTCTGCAGGGCACTCGGCCCAGTACTGGGGCCAGAGTGCGGGGAGCTGCAGACACACACGGCGCGGCAGGAAGCTCGGAGCCCGCCCGCGTGGGGAGGGTCCACCCGTGCCCAGGACCAGCCCACGTGGGCACCCCCCCCCGGCCAGGCCTTTGTGCCGGGCGCCCCCGCGCCGCCAGTCCCCGCCGCCCAGCAGAGGGACAAAGCAGCCGCCCCCGCCCAGGTCCGGACCCTGGCCGGGCGACTTTCTCCGTTTTGCAGCCACTTTGGGGACTGGGGTACGCGGCGGAGAGCGCTGGCCGCCCGCGCTGGGCTTACCTCAGAGCTGGAGCGGTGGATAGGACTCGGGCGCAGCCCCCGCCCCCCGCGGCCGGCGGTCTCGGGCGCCCGGCGCAGCCTCGCCGCCTATGCTCGCTGCGCGGGTCGCTCCGGTCTCGTCCTGGAGTTACTTTCTCTCTCGCCCCCAACCCTCCCCCCACCCACCCCTCCCGCCCCGGCCCCCGCTTCGCGCGGCCCCTCGCGGCGCGGCGCGCCGGGGCCTCCCCTCCCCGCCCTCCCCTCGCCTCCTCCCCTCCTCGCGGCCGCCGCCGCCGCCGCCGCCGCCTCTTCGCGCCGCTCTCCGGCTGCCCTCCCGCCGCTCCCACCTCTTCTCCTCCCTCTTGTCTCTCCAGCGGCCTCCCTCGATTGCTGGAGAGAAAACCAGACCCCCGCCCCAGCTTCTAGCCCGCGCCTTGCCGCTGCCCAGCTCGGACGCAAAGGGCAGCGATCCGGCTCCAAATTACCCAGCGCGGCGAGCGCGAGCGGGCGCGCGCGGCGACTCCTGGCTCGGGGCTCGGCTGCGCCGCGGGGCAGAGGATTAGAGTCGCAATTAGCTCCGCGCGCCCGCGCCTGCCGCGCTCGGCGACAAAAATGCGCCGTTTCCCCTCCTTTCGCCGGCGCGGTCCCCACCCGTCCCTCCCGAGTCGGAGCCTTCCCGCCGGGGCCTCCGCTAGGACCCTCCCGGGAGCGGTGCGCCCGGGCCCCCGCGCCCTGCGCGGCCCAGCCCCCCGCCCCCCGCCGGCCGGCCACGCGGCGCCCGGGCCTCCTCCGGGCGCGGAGAGGGGGCGGGGGAGAAGCTGATTTTAATCATTGTCATTTCATCTGATGTAATATTTCTCCGGGCGCTTTCAGCTGGGCATAAATTTTCGGCTCCCAAATAAGTAACACAGGGCACGTTTCTCACATTTCTTGACTCCTCGGTTACAAAGAGGAAAGCAGCCGCCGCCGCGGCGCCCGGGGCTGGGGGCGGGACTTGGGAAGAAACTGCGCGGCGAGTCGGCCGGGGTTGGAGCGCTGCCGGGGGTCAGGGCGGCCCTCCCCCCGCGCCGGCCCCCTCCCCGGGTCTCTGCCCCCGCTGCCCCCTTCCCGGGGAGCAGCGCCGCCCGTGACGTCTGCGGACGCGCACTCGGCCACCGCGGGGGAGGGGGCACCCGGCCGGCCGCCCGCGGCCAGACGCGCCATTTCCTTTGCGCTCGCCGCGCGATGGAGACGGCGGCGGCCAGGGCTCCCCGCGACGCCGAGGCCTGCGCCCCGGGCGTCCCTCGCCGGTGCCCGCGTCGGCTGCCCCTTCCTCTTCTCTCTTCCTTTTCTGTTCCTGCTCTTTCCTCTGCGCCCCACCTGTCCCTCCCCCTCTTCCCCGAGCATTTCTCTCTCCTAGAAAACGGAGGCGGCCGGTACGCATGGCCCGCACTGCGCCCCCGCCTGGCTCCCGGGACGCTCGGGCTCGGGCGGCAGGGCGGGTGCGCTTCGGCCGAGAGCGGCGCAGGGCCCCCTCCGCGAGCGCAGGCCGGGCCTGGGCGCCCTCTAGCGGCTGCACTCCGTGGAGGGGGCGCACGGACCTGGCTGGTCGCGAGTCCAGGGCTGGGAGAGGAGGAGGAAGAGAAGAAGGAGGAGGTGGTCGGGGTCGGTCTCCCTGGACTGAGAACCTCGCGTGCGGAGGGAACGTCCGGACTGTGCTTCTGTAACTTCTCCACGCGGGAATAGGCAGAAACTTTCCTCCTAAGGGAGGGTTTATTTATTTATTTCGGAGCTGGAACTACTGGAGAAGGGGGGAATTTTCTCATTAAAGTTACATCCCCGCAGTTAGTTCAATTACTTGATATGTGCAGAAGATGTTGTAAATTTATAGATTTAAATAGCTTACAAAGATGCCGCAGGCCCCATCAGTTAATTTCCTTAATTTATGGATTTTAAGCGGCTCCTTGAACAGAAAGAAGGCCCTGGAAGTAGGTCAGGGAGCTGCGCAGCACGGCTGCCCACTCGGGCTCTCCCCGCTCCAGAGCCCCCAGGCTTCTAGTTCCCAGCTTGGCTAAACAGCCCCCGACTCTGGGGCCCCAGCCGGGGGAGGTCAGCTCTGCCCCAGGCCTGACTGCCCCAGTCTCCTCAATGCTCTGCAAAACCTAGGAGCAGTGAAGCCCCCTGCGTGAGAAGTGAAACAAGGATCCAGATGCGGTGACCTCTTAGGTCCTTCCTAAATCCTGGCTGGGATCGCCAATGGAAGAAGTCCTGTTTGAGCCCCCAACTTGACAGCCAGAATGTTCCCTGTCCTTTGAGGCGGGAACAACGAAAAACAAAAACAAAAACACCACCAGGCTTTGAGGAGCAAGGACCCACAGAAAACTTGCTTGTCGCCATCCTTGTGGCACCCAGTGCCCCTCCTTTTCTCTCTTCTCCTACATGGTGGCTGGTGTGTCTTTGTTTTGTGTTCCATATGGATGAATATATACATATGAATTAATACTTAAAAGATCGGTACTAACTGCACTGTTTTAGGAAACAACATGGCAGTATGATTAGTATTGGTATTCATGATTTAACATTTCTTTTCCCACTAGATGAAGTTTCTAAGATTTGCAAGGTACATGTCAAGGACGGGTATATAAATGGATTTTTATTTATTCACAACTCCAAGACTAATTGCTTCCCTTTGCCTCAAGGCCACGAGATTGGTTTTAATATGACAGTTCAAAAGTATTCATAGAAGTACAGAGATACTAAGTGTCATTGTTTCAGAGATAAATCTCACCGTGGTACTGCTGACCCTGAAAATAGGATGTTTCCACTTTATTTTAAATTCCAATGTGTTTTTTTTTTTAAAGAGTTTCACTTTATACCAACTACATTAAAAATGCACAATTTAATCGAAACAAGAACTGACCATTTTGAAAGACCTTTATCGCCTTAATACTGCTGGGGACTTTGTTTTCATGTTCTGAATCCTTTTATTAAAGAGTTGAACTTTATATGTGGCATTAAGAATAAGTTTAGATTGTAATTTGCTCTCAAATGTTTTAAAAGTTCCCGGCTAAATGTAAGCCATCCCTTACAACAAGAGACAGGGACATGGCCTGTGATAAGCATTTAATGATCTGTGGCATATAATGCAATGGTGATGTATTTTTTAATTGAAGATGTATAATTAGGACTGAAAACATATTGAGACATCTTGTGGTGTACATTGTCTTTCATTACTATGGTCCAAGAGACAAAACTGGATATGAGTCTAATCAGAATTTGCTTTATCATTAAGATTTCACTGGCACTGAAGCTGTTATAGTTCATAGTTTAAAAAGCACATTCAAACCTGTGTGTGCTTTGGTGTTACTCTATATGTTACTATGTGAAGCACAAGGTAGGTCTTAGGTCCGGTAAGTCATCTGCAGGATGCAAAACCGAGGGCAAGATAGGAGGTTCCCAATGTTTCAGATTGGCTTCCAGTGTGAATTGTTGTTTCCATGTTTAAAAATTAGGACCTTAATAAGGAAAGTGATATGAACCCTTGACAAGATCCCAGTCTGCCGAATACAACTCATCCGGGAAGGCTGTGACCAGAGCCACAGGTAAACTGACTGAGGGACCTGGCTACTCCCACCACCAGGCTCCCTGGGGTGAATGTGAGACTCCCCAGGTTTGTTCTGCCTCACAGATGGCCCCTGTGGAATGGGTTTGAGTTACACCCTTCCAGAGCTTACAGTTCTGCTTTCTCTTGGCTTTTACCTCTGCTCTGGAAAGCCTTCTCAGTTTTCCCTCCAGGATTGTCTAGAGTCGGAAGGAAGAGATGAAAGGAGGGCTGTTAATTCCCTGCCCCCACCAGATCTCCCTTGTTGGTCCTTGGGAGGAACACAAAACTAATGCCCACTCACCGAGCTCTGCTGGGTGGCAGTGCTGGGGGCATTTAGGATTCCTGGTGGGCAGGAAGGTTGGGGCTTTCTCCAGGTGCTGCAGGCCACTCCCTCCTTCCACCCTTTCTGCCTGCAACCCAAATGCACTGTTCATAACTGAAGTAACCCAATGTGCCCTCCTGCGAGCCAGCACTGGGATACCTATGGTGATACAAGCCCAGGATCTCTTTACCAGATGTAGTGCTCTGTGGATGGGTCTCAGGGAGCCAGAAACAGCCTCCATTAATTGCTCTGCACTTGAGCTGTTCTCTGAGAATCAGCTGAAGAGTATCTATGTGTGTTTGAATTGAGAAGCAAAGGCGACTTCAGAGTGGCTTTCTGATGAGGAATGTTGGCTCTCTCCCAGAATAGCAAGTAGGAGGAAAAGTGACGTATCCATATGGAGTTGGTTCCATAGCTCTGCAGCATATCTGGGGACCCAGGCCTCCCTACTTTCTCTGCAGCCCTCAGTCCATTGACCTGTACTTACGACACCTCTCCCTTGGTCTCTACAGTGGAGCTCAGAACCGCCCACCTACGTAGATATCCATGGAAAACAAGGCAGTTATTCCAGCCCTTCCTCCCTAGTGTTGGCCCAAATACAGTCCCCTGTGAACTTGGAAGCCAATCACAGGAAAAGGAATTTGACCAATTAGGTTTGTTCTCTTTGGTGCATGGGGCTGGAGTTCCTTCTTTGGGAGAAAGGTGGATTTTGGTCCAAGTTGGGCTCTGCCTGGGGGTAGGAGGAGAGGATGAATTTTATGTACAGGGCTCGGTCCCTGAAGTTTACAAACCACTGATCAGGACTCAGTACTGAAGGAGAATAGAGGCTAGGCAGATGAGTCCCAAACCTAGGAAGCTTAAGACATCCATGGCCTTCCCTGACCTCCATCCACACCTTCCTGAGATGTAAAATCCAAGCTTGAGAGTGGTCACTAGACCAGGGCCACTGGCCCTAGGCCCTCCACCTAGATTCCTCTCAAGGCTCATTCCTCTCTCCTGAGCTGGATCAGTGAAGCCCAGAGAGCCTCCAGGCAGCCCCTTAGGGGTGGGGGAGGGGGTTATTTCCAGTTGATAGCAAGTGGGGGGTTGTGAGGGCTACGGATCTAGGTGCCTGGCTTTGGGTAGAAGCCCAGGAGCGCCCTGAGGACCCCAACAATTGACTGTGAAACAAGGTTGTTGGAAAGAAGAGACAGCTGCAGACAAGGGGTGGAGCTGAGGGCCTCTCGGGGTCCTCCAGTTTTCTCAGTGAACACAAGTCCAGTCTGGCTTTCTGGGAGAGCAGCCCTAACCACTGAGCCATGTGCCTGTCACAGTGGATCCAGGTGACCATCAGAACTCACAGTACCCAGGGCTCTTGGCATGAGTCCTGGGGAAATTTTCTTCATAAAAAGGGTTTGAGTGGGGCCGGGGAGATGGCTCAGTAGGATAGGCGCTTGACTGACAAACGCAAGGATCTGAGTTCAATCCCCGGTTCTGCCAAAAAAAAAGAAAAAGGGTTTGAGTGTTGAGTGTAGAGTGCTTGCCTCGTGTGCCTGAGGCCCTGGGTTCCATCCTCAGCACTGATGGGGAGGGGAGATGCTAAGACTGAACCTCATATTGCCCAGCATGGTGGCACAGGCCTATAAACCAGCACATTGGGAGACTAAGGCAGGAGGATCACAAGTTCAAGCCCTGCCTGGGAAACTTAGCCACTTAGTGAGACCCTGTTTGAAGGAAGGAAGGAAAGAAGAAAGGAACAACCCAGGGATGTAGCTCAGAGTGCAGGCAGTTGATCCTAGGATGGATCTCTCCTACTCCTCCCCCAAAGTAGTCAGCATTTATTTATTTATTTTTATCATGGTACTGCAAATTGAACTCAGGACACTCTCATCACTAAGCTACATCCCCAGCTGTTTGATTTTTATTATGAGTCAGGGTCCCACTGTTTCCCGGGCTGGCACTGAACTTCTGATTCTTCTGCCTCCATCTCTTACAAAGAATGTATACTGTGAGGAAAGTGGCCTTTGGTCAGTTGGCCTTGCCCCGGGGTTCTTTCCTGGCACCAAAGCCTGACATACCGACCTCCTTTCTTGTCCCAGGCAAGTCTGTCTCCTTGTGCTTGTGCTAAAGGAGATAGTCTGCGTGTAGCATGAACCTGGCAGTGTGATTCCAACTGGGTGAACTGGG